ATGCATATAGGCATGGACTAAAATGACTGGAATATGTTTGGCAGTTTGTGACAATGTCCTTTTGTTTTGTCCAGTTTGTGACAATCTGATCCTGCACACATTAGCTCCAAAGATATGGACAGGAAGGAATAGTCAACGTGGCTTGTATTTCAAGGCACCTTATGGAATCAATCAGTAAAAAAAGATGCTAGGGCTTTACAGTGCGACCCTAAAGAGAGGTGGGGTATCAAAAGGTAGAGTGATAGGGTTGGTGTTAGCAATATAATTCTTTTGAAGGTTGGCTGGTGAGTACAATACTACAAGGTACTTTGCAATGAAGAAGGTGCGAAAAGGGTAGGCCAGAGCTTAGAAAAACCTGCATTCCTGATGGCTTTTGTGGAGCCATTCAAAGTTAAAGGACTGGAGGCTCAAAAAAGTGGATGGGAGGCTAGGTATTGCAGGACGACAAGGTGTCCGTATAAACAGATGTGGTTCTAGGCCAAGTCACTGGTTCAAAAACTGACCAGTCCAGCAAAGGATCTTGGTTGACCTTGAACAGGATAGATGATGGTTTGTGCCTAGTTAGGGCTTTGGATAAATATCTGGCAAAAAGGAGAAAGGAAAGAGCACAATTTGTTGAGGCACAGGGATGGTGATACCTTGTTAGTGTTTCAATTTGATCCTGTTTTAAATTCCTACCAACCTCCATGCTTCTGAATATGCCTGAATCATGAAGGTCATGATTCAGCATTGTACGTGGACATGTTGTGAGTGGGGTAAACAAAGTAGGCATCAGATAAGGTTAAATGGGGTGCGTCACCCTACTGTATTTGCAGTGGCAGTTTGGGGCATCTCACAAGGCACACTGTCAAGGTTGCAGGTGGGAACAAGTTCTGACCAGTGGTAGAGGTCTATTATATGTGGTAGAGGGGGACATGTTGCATACAAGGTACAGCATGTCTCAATCCTTCCCCACAGGCAACTGGACTCAGTTGCATAATTGGGCCTTGGTGGGTCAGGAATATGGGATGAGAACTCTGGAATCAACTGCATACAGGGCCTCTGTGGAGTCTGAAAGGTCTTAACTGTGGGCGTACTCAGTTACAGGATGGCAGGTAAGGTGCCACAATCTGCAGATAGCAGGGCTCTATAATGCTCAATGTCTGAAATATGTCAAACAAACCTGGGTCTGCCAGAATAATAATGTAATTGTTATGTCGTTATTGGAGTTAAAACTTTGGGAAAGGGGCAGAGTGAACCATAATCTTATTATGGTGGAGTGGGCCAGATCTTATCATCTTTCTGAAAGGTGTTCCTTCTATTGCATTAACAGTTTGTATTCAGTTCTGTAAATTTGCTACTACCATATACTGTATTTGTTATTTGGAAGTATTTTGGTGTAAGATCACACAAAATTTGATGTTTTTTTCTATAGTTGTCAAGAGTTCCACATTATACATACCTACTTTTTTTTATATGTAGCACCCCCCTTACCCCCAAGGAGCAGTGGAGAAACTCAAGATGGCTCAGTGGGTTAGTATTTCACCTCAGGGAAATTCTAGCAAGTTAAGCATAATTTATTAAGCATCATCAACTTGAAGAGAAAAAGAGAGAGGAGTTGTGGCACAGGCTATCCAAAAGTGACCAAAATGCAGACTCCTGACTCTACTTACTGTCTATACAGAAGAAATGGCCTTGAAGCCAGAGCCAGCACTCTGTACTCCTCAGACTATATAGCAACTTAAAGTTAGCACATACTGTATATTCCTTGGATGGTCCATTCAAACTTCCTACAATGTCTACATATATATATATATATATATATATATATATATATATATATATATATATATATATATATAATCTCTACTATATAATACAGAATTCCAAGGTCTCAGACACAGGACTCTATTCTGGCAAAAGCCCTCCCCAGGCAGCAGGCCAGGGAGGCTCTGGTTTAAACACATAGCCTTCTATCCTGGCATCAGTCCAGAAGACAAGATACAGGTGAAATTCAAAAAATTAGAATATCGTGCAAAAGTTAATTTATTTCAGTAATGCAACTTAAAAGGTGAAACTAATATATGAGATAGACTAAATTTTTCGAGTTTCACCTGTATGTAACCATATGGTCACCACAAATACAGTGCTGTATTTATTTCCTTCCCCGACATGCACCACTCACAGTAAAACTTCTGGTGGTTGGCTATGGAGTCATAAATATTCAAAATTATTGAATCTTCTCACACTATTGGCAGGGGCACTCCCCAACAGTAGCCAAACAATAGAACTGAGCTGAGAAAAAAATCTAATGAAAATTAGGCTAGGAGCACTAGTGCTTAGGGCAGGGTCCCTACCCATATTTTTACTGCATAGTGTCACCCGTCATTGCCAGTCAGTGCCACCTATCAATGCCAATCAGTGCTGCCAATCAGTGCCACCTATCAGTGCCGCCTATCAGTGCGCATCAGTGCCACCTATCAGTGCCAGTCAGTGCCGCCTAACAGTGCCAGTCAGTGCTGCCTATCAGTGCCATATATCAGTGCTGCCTTTCAGTGGCCATCAGTGATGCCTGTCAATGCAAATCAGTGCCATCTACCAGTGCCTCCTCATCAATGCCCATCAGTGCCACCTATCAGTGTCCATCAGTGCCCATCACTGCAGCCTCATTAGCACACATCAGTGAATGAGAAAAATCACTTATTTACAAACTTTTATAACAAAAACTAAGAAAAAATGTTTGTTTTTCAAAATTTTCAGTGGTTTTTGGTTTGTATAAGAAAAAAATAAAAAAACCCTGAGTTGATTAAATACCACAAAAATAAAGCTCTATCTGTCACAAAAAAATGATAAAAATTTCATATAGGTACAGTGTTGCATGACCGCGCAATTGTCATTCAAAGTGTGACAGCGCTGAAACCTGAAAATTGGGCCAGGCAGGAAGGGGGTATAAGTGCCCTGTAGGATTGAGGTTAATTAGTTTTTTTTTACATTTCTTTATTCACATTTTCTCAATTACTTCTTAGTTTCCATGCCTAGACAAATGATGTTATACATTCCAGGAGTCTTCAGGAGGGAGAAGGGGTTTTCTTAGCTAAGCACACCCTTATGCCTATATGCCTGGGCTAAGAACAGATGGATTCCAGGAAGTAATTGCTGCATGAATCATCTGCACTTACTAGAGATGGCCATGGCCAGAAATGCTACAAGTTTTTTTCTAAGTGATTTCTCAGCAAAATAAAGCATGGAGACATTGGATGGATAGGTGAGTTTGCTTTGAATCTTAATCAAACTCAATCTAGTGGCCATAATGATTTTTTTCCATAACCATACTATATTTTATGAATTAAAAGCATTCAACCTGTAGAAGAAATAGAAGGAGAACATTCAATTTTGCCCATTTGCACAGATCAAATGTACCAGCAGTTGTGCTGGACAAATAGCTATGGAAACCTTTTTTTTAATTAAAACATCCTTTAATTTTCTGTAATTATGTGATAGTTAATTAAGAATATTATACACATTTCAGATCTGCTCTTTCTGATCTCTGTTGGATTTCCTTGGTATGATGACTGGCATAAACAGCAGATCTTGTAAGTGTCAAGATGGTCAGTCCTTCATTAAATTTATCTATTGCAAGGCAATAGTTCAGGCCACTTATTTTATGTTGTTTTTGTAATATTGTAACTGGTAGACATTATTTAGTATGTTGGATTCCATTATTTATTATTATCTTGCCAGTGTCAAAATTCGTTACTAATTAGAAACTAGTCATCTACATCTCCAGCCAAGCAGATGTAGGTGGTATTGCAATGTGAAACCTGAATAAACTGGCTAGCGACACCTCTAATAAACAATATTCCTGCTCCTTGGGGTCAAGATACAAATCATATATATTTTTTTGTGTAAAATCACATACATTAGTTAATGAAAGACATTCAGAAAGTGTGGCAGATATCGGCTTGATATCAGGAAATACACAGGTTATGAGCTATGGAGCTAGGAAACAGCTAATTGTGTTTCCGCACATTTTAGCTTGTATTGTGTATATGTAGTGAAATTTCACAGCTCTTGTGACTCATTTTAGAAGAGTGATGGTCCTCTTGTTGTCACTGTGTTATTTAAGGGTATGGAAACAGTGGTTAAAACGATCGATCTTATAGCTGGCTGTATTTCAGGAGATGACTGACGAGGTGTATGAGGAAAACAAGGCAATTTACAGAGAAAAGAAAAACAATATGATTTATGCATTCATTATAGTAAACTGGACAAACTGGTTTGCCAAAAGTTAGATTAGTTGAGATTGTGCTGCTGGCCATTTAAAGTGAACCTGTGCTTTCCTTGTGCAGGGGAAAAACAAGTTAATGTAAAGGGGTGTATTTATATATATTTATTATTCTTATTATACAGGATTTATATAGCGCCAACAGTTTGCTCAGCGCTTTACAATATATATCGGAAGACAATACAGCAACAACACAGTTCAATACAAGAGGGTTAGGAGCTTGAAGCTTACAATCTAGGAGGGAGGGGCTAGTGGTGCAAAGGTAGTAACTGTGGGGGATGGACTGGTGGGAAAAGTAGAAGATTCCATTATTAGCTGACGGCAGGATATATATATATATATATATATATATATATATATGTAAAATTTCATAGCTGTTCATCTCTTTAAACTGCATGTAAGTTAGTTTTGTGCAAAGGGGCAAAATTGAATGTTCTCAGACTAGATTCTCTGCAGATCGAGAATGTGTGACCACTAGATGGCACAGTTTATCATAGGAAATAAGTATGCTCATCTGCTACATCAAACGAATATAATGCAGTATTTTCCCTATTAAAACATTTTCAGTCTGCAGGGAATATAATCTGAGAATTTCGGTTTTGCCCTATCAATTTAGATAGATGAACAGCTATACATTTAAAAAAAAAAAAAATAAATAAAATTTTTTTGTTTTGTTTTGGATAGATTTTAGAAGGGGTTGTGACCTTTGACAAGTTTATAGTTCTCTGTGTTCCCACCAGGGGCGGACTGACCATTTGGAAACTCAGGCACTGCCCGAGGGCCCGGGGTCAGTAGGGGGCCCCCATGAGATGCCCCTGGTACCTTTATCATAGGCTTTTTTGAGTTTGGGCAAGGACACAGGGGTCCCATGATCCCCTTATTGCCCGGGGGCCCCATGAGTTGTCAGTCCACCCCTGGTTCCCACTATGGAGATTCACCTTGTCTAGAGGCACATACAGTAAAGGAAATAAGTATTTGATCTCCTGCTGATTTTGAATGTTTGCCCCATCACAAAGAAAAGCGTAGGGATCTTGTCATCTGGTAAGGTGCATAAGATAAGAGGTGGCGGTCAATGTGCACACTAACATTGGGAGTTTGTCAAAAGGGGAGCATGAGCAGAGTGAAAGTATTTTTGTGATACAATAATATATGCGATTCCTGTGGAGGTATATTTCCTATGTGAAGGCGGACGGATTTAGTAACCTAACTACAAAGGAAGATTGTGTGGAAGTTTTTTTTTAATTTACAAGAGGGTAAGAGTAAAGATGATGGATGTTTCAAGGTGTACACATGGTGGAGTGGATTTTGCACGCATTGGCACAATTTTTATAAATGCATTTTGCTATGTTGAATATCATGCGTTGTAGATAATGCACTATATGAGATTTATATTTTTTTGAGGGCACTAAGAGGAGGAAGAGGATTCTTTGGCACTTGTGGAAGAATAATATTCACTAGGAAAATATTAGTATCACTGGTTATTTTTACACAGAGACGCTGAATTAAAGTTGGACTGTTTTGGACGTTCGGGGGTGAAAGTGGTTTTGGCGTCGGGAGTTTTTCATTTGTTACATTTTGGTTTATTATTTTGTGTCATCACTTGGTATTACAGTAGCACTTGGTCCCCTTTAAATGTGTAGTGTGGTTGCTGAGCAGCATGATCGGAAAGCTCACCATCCCTCCCTTTTCCCACCTCTGACCACACTGGAGCAAGGTGATGAATATTTAAATAGATCTGAATGACAGCGCACAGCGAAGATGGGGTGGTCCAGAAAGAGAAGTACATCCCTCGTCCCCTCCTGCTCTGAAAGCTGCCAGTCCAAATATCTTTAGTTTGTACACTTGTCCAAGAGAGACCAATGTAGTAGCTGCTGGCGTGATTTTGGCAGCTTGTCTTGAGAATGACTTCTCTGTCATACACAAAAAACACAAGTCCCTAATTACAACTGTACTCTCTCCTCAGGTCTGAAATACAGGGCAATTGCTGGCAGCAGGGCAGGTCTTTGCTCACTAAGTTCAGTTTGGTCCAAGTCTATGTTTTGACTGAACTTCCGCTGTTTGGATGTTCATAGTAAATCTGAACTTTAGTTCCAGCAGCCTAGCAGTATGAGAGTTTTAGGGCCCTTGACAGTATTGCAGGAAGAGAGTTTGCAGTTTAGTGTGCTACTACAGCTATACAGTGGTATACGTATACCTCACTATACTGTATATTGCTGATGATACATTGCAGTGAATTGTAGTTTGTGTTCCTAAAGAGTGGAGTGTAAGCCCACCTGCATTCACTGTGCCTAGGACTCAACTGTCCTTTTTAAGACTACGTGTGTGTGTCAGCAACAACTTCTGTTGCTATATTGCTGATTGTTGATGTGTGCTATTGTTTTTCTGTATTTGTCTTTAGCATTTATTGATTTCTCTGAATTAAAAAAGTTTTCAATTTGCTTGTAGTGTAGCGTTGCTGTTCTGGGTGTTTTGTTCTATTTTCCTTTTTTGGCCTACAGCTCTATTTTATTGTTTAATTTCGTTAAGGTCTTCTTTTATTCATTTTTTTTATAATTGACAAGGTCAGCAGCAGTAACAGCAGCATGAAGTTGTCTGGTGACACCACAAAGGCTACACTTTGTTTTCAGTGGCACACCAGATATTATTATTGTGTGGTTTAGTCCATAATGGCACCACAGTTTCCAGAGCGCCCAAACATGGCACCCCCAACATACATCTCTCTAGCCTTAGCTGCTAAATGAAAATGGGGAACACGTCCCATGTTAGCAACATTATTATTAATATTATTACTATTATACAGGATTTATATAGTACCAACAGTTTGTGCAAAATAGAGGGAGATGGTACAGTTAAAATACAATTTAATACAAGAGGAAAGACAAACAAAAAACTGAGGCCACGATTAGTAATAAAGAGGTTACCACCTGAGGTCCATATGGTTTAACTGACAATGTTGTCATTCCTATGACATAGGACTCACCATTCAGCTCTTGGGAGCAGCACCTGAATTCTAGCTGTCAACAGGAAAAAAGCTGCACTCCTTCTACTACATCAATCTCCTCCCTTTCCACTTCCACCCCTATGATACAATTTTCCCCATCAGCAGCCTCCAGGGATGAAGGTGGAAATCTTTCAAAGGGTGTCAAAGATTTACCTTATGGCTCTTTTGGTGGGTAAGCATGGTGTCATGCAGAGTAGGGCCAAGCACAGGTTGCAATCTTTCTCTAATTCTGCCAGACACACCCTGTCATCTGCAGCTGTAGCAACCAGCAATAAAGTTTCTCTGCCCCCTCTGCTGAAACAGGAAAAGCATGCCCTCAGCCACCCCAATGCTTGGAGGCTCATTGCCTGTTTTGCAAAATTGATGGCTTTTCAGCTCCGGCCTTTCCAGCTGGTGGATTCAGCCCCATTCTGTGAATTTGGGTCTGTGCTATACTGCAGTGGCAGGTTCCCAAACACCCTTTTCTTTGCCCATAAGGCTATTTCTACCCTCCACCATTATTTGGAAGGTAATGTTTCTACATTACACTGTTCAACAGGTAAAAAGTTTTGGGCATAAAATTAGCTAATCTTACATAATTTTGGGGTGCTGAAAACGAAAATGGCCCTAAAAAATGTTGATTGGCTCTAGTTTCCATGATATATTCACCCATCTAATGACGTAAGCCATTCAAAATTATGATGCAACTTCAGCTGCATATTGCGCAATTGATACTGGTGACCAATAGAAAATTGCATGTATACTGAGATGATGCAATATTAGCCTTTAATTGCATCACTTCACTGCATAAAAGCTGCAGTATCTGTAGCTGATTGTAGTTCGACAGCGTCTTTACATTTCGTTTTATGCTTATATAGGCTACTCAGTAATGCCTCGAACTTGTGGGAATAAAGCAGATAATTTCTGCTATATCTGCGGTGAAATAACTTTTATCTCACAAAAAAGGAGGATAACAGGAATGATTAAGAAAGCCTACAACTTGTATTTTGGCTGCAAGATAGGAGACCAGGACAAGAGCTGGGCACCACATATATGCTGCAATTCTTGTGGGACGGCACTGGAGCATTGGTTGAATGGAAAAAAGGCATCTATGCCTTTCGCTGTGCCAATGATTTGGAGAGAGCCAACAGATCATGTTAGTAATTGTTACTTTGTATGGTGCCTCCAATTGTAAAAGGGCTAAATAAGAAGAAAAAGTTATCTGTGCACTATCCAAATATTCCATCGGCAATACGTCCAGTTCCTCATGGAGAGGGGCTACCAATTCCTAAAGCACCAGAATCCTTCGTGGTTGAGTCAAGTGAGGAAGAACCTGAAGCGTGTAGTCACGTGCAGTTGTAAGAGATAGCCCTTTCCTTGAATACAAGAGAAAAGCCAAGAGAAGCAAAACCGACACAAACTGAAGACAAAACTAGTGAGAATCCTAAGTATTAAAATGATTCAACTTAGCTTATGGCTATAATTTTTCTTGGTAATCCTATGCAATATATTATGCCATTTAGGCTTTGTTATGTAGTCAATATCACTTGCTTTATATTTGTGGAAAGATATCTATCTATATAATTATTGTGCATTATGTAGTCATTACGCCTATAGTAGAAAACTCTCCGTTTACAGAAAAACTAGAGCCAATTGACAAATTTCATTGTTATATTTGAACTCAGAATGTGAAATTCATTAAGAAATGGATCCTTTTGTTTCCAAAACTGGCAAAAAATAAAAATTTGTTGAACAGTGTTATTGGACCATGTGGCTATCAGGAGGGTTCACCTGACCACAGACATGTGGTCAAGCAAGTATGGGCAAGGACTAGGGATGCACCGATACTCTTTTTTTTATCAGTGAGTATGAGTATCAATACTTTTGGTCACGCACTCGCTGATACCGAGTATTGATACTTTGCGGTGTGATTTGTGATTGTGTACAAAATGAATGGGCACACAATTGACTGCAAAAACAGCAGGTGGCTAGAACAGGAATGCAGTGCGATTCCTGTCCAAATGACATACAGTTTCCCCACTGCTCCATTGTAAACCCAGGCTTGTCATAGCCTGAGTTCACACAGGAGTGGTGCGGGAAACCTTCCTGCACCAGTCCCATGCTGTCACACAACAAAAAGTCGCTTCACAGGTCTGGGGATTTATCTCTTGGCTTTCTCTTTTCTCCTTGCAGAGATGACAGTACGGACTAGGCAACTTCCGCATGGTCAGCACCGTCACGGTGCTGACCAATCAGAAGCCGTACAGCCCACTACAAATCCCCAGACTTGTGAATCGGCTCTTTGTTGTGTGACAGCATGGTTTCAGGTATCGGGAGCATTTTCACGATATCGGTATTGGTGCATCCCTAGCAGGGACCAGGGGCAAACTGACCATTTGGAAACTTGGGCACTGCCCGAGGGCCCGGGGTCAGTAGGGGGCTCCATGAGATGCCCCTGGTACCTTTTTCATAGGCTTTTTTGAGTTTGGGCAAGGACACAGGGGCCCCATGATCCCCTATTGCCCGGGGGCCCCATGAGATGTCAGTCCGCCCCTGGCAGGGCCAGTATATATCTTTCATGGCCCACAGGATTACTCAGCTGGGAAGGATGCAGACAGGGCACACCGTTGGAGCGGTTTGTGCTGCTCTGCATCCTTACAGCTGGTGATGGTGACAGTGCAAACACCTCCATCTCCTCCTCAATGCCCGCTTCGGGGGAGTCATCCTCTGAACCGCATGTACTCCACAAGCATTTAAGAGGCTATGTAATGGGTCAGGCAAATGATGTCACACAATGTTGCAGCAGCCTGCTGTCCTCAATTTGTCAAGGAAAGTTCAGCTTGGTGCTGCAGCAATATTGGCTAAATACCTGGCCTTACAGCATCTTCTGAGAGGAGGGTCAGAAGAGTTTGTAACCATTTCAGGTAGTCATACACAGCCACTGTGTGCCTGGGTGAATTTCAGCAGGAACACCATCTGCCTGCACACTGCCTGACTTGTGACATACCCACCTGAACTCTACCTTGGCCATGCTGCAGTGGTTGCACATTCAACAGTGGACTATAAATGAGTACCTGTTTGAGTAGAGCACAAGCACAGTCTAGGGGTGCTGGGGTTCTTCTCCACATGTCAATAGCTCTTTATACAAGACACATGCACTGTATTGTCATGTCTGAAGGTTCAACCAGACCTGTGAGCTGTGATAATGTGGGCATCAGCATCACAACTCCTATAGTCATCCTGCTGGAGCAGACACCATGGGGGAGATTTACTAAAACTGGTGCACTCAGAATTTGGTGCAACTGTGCATAGTAACCAATCAGCTTCTAACTTCAGCTTGTTCAATTAAGCTTTGACAGTAAAACTGGGAAGCTGATTGGTTTCTATACAGAGCTGCACCAGTTTTTGCAGCATGCAGTTTTAGTAAATAACCCCTTAAGTGACATTTTATGTTATTGTCTCTGCCTCTAAGATATTTTCCCATTAATAAGAATGAGATTCTCTCAAAAGCTGTACAATATGTTGTCTATATATAGCTTTCATCTAATGTGTTAAATTTATTGATTGAATCTACCTGCTCTCTCCCTCAGAAATTGTGGCTTTTTCAAATAGGCTTAAATGGTGTACTTGAAATTACTTAAATTTTTCTGTTTTAAATTTCAAATAAAAATAGAATCTTTTTATTTTCCCAAAAGCAATCTGCCTTCTCTCTACCTCAACACTATTGGCCTGTCCAAAAGATATATAGGCTGTTCTGTAATTCTTAATATATGTTCTTTCTTTTGTCTGGAAATAAATAACTCCAATATTTTGGAAGCTGAAATTTGCTTGTTGTGTGACCAGGAGCGGACTGACCATTGGGGAACTCAGGCACACTGCCCGAGGGCCCGGGGTCAGTATGGGGCCCCATGAGATGTCCCTGGTACCTTTCATAGGCTTTTTTGGGTGTGATTTGAGTGTGGGCAAGGACACAGGGGCCCCATGATCCCTATTGCCCAGGGTCCCCATGAGTTGTCAGTCCGTCCCTGTGTGTGACTGACCTACTATAGCAGCCTCTGTTACTAATCTGTTAGTGTGTACCAATTCGATTAATTCTTGAAAAAAAATTAATAATTGCCTCTTTCTAGCTGAAGTCTATTTGCTCTCTCCCTCAGAAAAAGCAGCTTGCCTGAAAAGGATTACAGGCTTGCCAGCAAATCTGTCAAATTTTTCTTTATTTATTCTGTGAAAAACAAGCCAATTTTATTATTTTTTAAGGCAATCTGTTCACACTCTCCCTGAGAAATTGCAGTCTATTCCGGTGAAGGACTAAAAAGTTTCCAGTTGTACACAAAATTAACTTTCTTTGTACCAGATGCAATGTGCATGAGCATTTGCTCAGAAATTGCAGCCTGCTCATACAGGTTTGATATCTGTGGTGCAAATCCTTTTCCCAGTCTCAAAAACAAGACCCTAATTGTTTACTTACAGGTATTATGTACTTGCACTTTCCTTGGGAAATAATGACCTATCTGAAACAGCTTTAAAGGATAAATTCATCTTTTTTTAAAAAATTAGTAAATGCACATCTTTATTTCAGGTAAAAATAAAAAAGTGAATTTATTATTTTTTTTAATAGGGGCCTGCATCCATCTTCAGTGTTCTAATTATTTCATTATTTATTTCTAGACGCAATGTGCTTGTTCTCTCCCATAGAAATCTTGGCTTATCAAAGAAAGGCTTAAAACATGGGCATCAAATTAAAAGCTATACTCTATCTAATGAATAGTGGATCGCTTTACCTGTTACAGTACCATAGAGCAGTAGATAGATTTTGCAACAAATCAGACTTTTTGTTTCATACCTGATATCAATACGTTTGCTAAATAAGGTTGAAGTGTGTTGCTTTTTCTATTCAATAAACTTTGTTTTATGAAACAAAATGTACTTTTCAAATATATTACAACATTTATCAAAACATACATTCTTTATTTTTTACACCCTGTCCCCCCATTTCACCCTAAGTCCAAAAATACTATCAAAATACTTATTTCCTTACTATCAACAACATCAACCAAAAACAAAAAAGAAAAAACACATTATCACTTATTCACATTTACTGGTACCAGCCTTGGGGTACCCATCGCTTCAATACTTTCTCAAACCTAGCACCCTCTATTTGCATAGGCATGTTTTTCTCTTATTATGTTGTTATTTGCACTCTTATTTGCCCCTCCCAGCCATTCTGCATGAGAGGGTGGTGGTGCAGCTATCCATTTCTGAGCAATCATTTTCTCTGGCCTGATAAAGCTGCCACAGTACTGCTGTCTGTACCTGCTGCTCTATTTACCCCAACACACAAAATTTAGGATAAAACCAAAGAGAAACCTCAAACATCATACCCTATCTACCACCTCCCCCAATATTTACATAGTTTAGGGCATCTCCAAAACATATGGATAAATCTTCCAGATGCATCCCCACACCTGGGACATGATTTATCTGGACGTCCCTCAAATAAAGACAATTTCCGAGGTATATAATATGCTCTATGAAATATATAAATCTGTGTCAGTTTCTGTGATGGTGACAAAGATATTAAATCCACTAATTTTAATATGCAATTCCATTGTTCATTTCTCCCACATCCTCTGCCCACCTTGCTCTACATGGTAAACCTAATTCTTTTTTCAATTCTGCCAGATGTATATTACTATACAATTTTGATATTAGCCTTTTAGTAGAGGTAACCCCCACTAAAGTTCTCAGAGGGGCATTACTCCACAACAGTCTTACTATTTCAAATAGAGCTGTCAATGCATGTCTAATCTATAGATATTGATAAAAGCACTTGTTAGACAGCCCAAATTCCTCTCTCAGTTCCTGAAAGGTTTTCAACACACCAGAAGAGTATAGGTGCACAATTCCTTTCTGCTTCCAATTATTAAAATTCTCCAACTCCCCAAGTTCTGATAAATTCTCATTATCCCATATTGGAGTATAATCTGTAAACCCTTTATAACCGAGCAAGGAACACACTGTCCTCCACAGTTTCAATAACAGCTGTATCGTAGAGGACTGTAACTCCGTCCTCAATGACCCTGCTTCTTGTTCTTCAACTAATGTGGTGTGCCGGACCTGCAATGCACGCGCATCATAACAGGTGGTGCCTCCCCCCCAGTGCCCAACCCTGTAGAGCTGTATTTGTGCTGCCAAGGTGTGGTACAGCCAAACCACCCTTATCCTTCCGCAGCTGCAACACTTGAAGATGCATCCTGGCTTGCCCCTGCCTCCACACTAAATCCCTAAACAAGACATCCATCTTCCTAAACCACACTTCAGTTATCCATACTGGTGAGCTATGTATAATATACAGAAGTTGGGGCATCCATACCATTTTAATTAGGCTACAACGGCCACCACTGATAGGGGAAGGTGACACCACATCTTACATCTTTTTATAAAGTCAGTTAATAAAGGTATTACGTTGTTCACAATATATAATAAACAATCAAGCGAGCGCTTTTTTTAAAAAAATAAGCAGCTTGCATAAGGAAAAAATCTCTAAATCCTTTAAACCATATGTATATCAAAATGCAGCGCTTGGACAACTATATAAATATAATAATATCATTGAATCAAATGAATTGAATTACAAAGTGGCACGTGAAAAAACAAGGCGCTATAAATAAGCGCAATAAAGTGACAATAATGCGTCGTCTTAAATTAGACGAATAGCAATAGTATAAATGCACATTATAAACGCATAATATCAGTAAATCAAATACATAGAATAGCAAAGTGACAAAGTGACAGATAAAACAGGAGCTAAATGAGCGCAATAAAGTGACAATAGTGTGTCACTTGCGGGGCTGCGTCACTCCGGGTACAGTCACATGATTGTGATGTCAGTGTAGGTCCTCTAGGCCCCCGGAATCCAGCATACACTGTCCAGCCAGGCGCACCGAGTGCGGGAGAGACCACGGCTTCCATTTGCAGATCTGTCTATGTTTTGTTGTGGGATCTTACTAAGAGGTCTGAAGTTCATTTCCAGGGTGCACAAAGTGCCTGAGAAGTGCCATATAATTACCGGTACCTTAGATGACCACGAATGCCCCTCTGAGTGTCATATACATGCGCAATTTTACTGTGCGTCCTGTGAGTGCAAGCACACTTCTTTGTCTTATCCACAGAAGTCACGAGCACCTATTGATGTAATTCCAGTGGAAGCGACCATTATCCCCAGACACTGATTGATCTGTGCACCTATAATGAAAAGTTATCTCCACTGTTTGGACTATTTTGCCTTTCTAATGTGCGTTTATACTATTGCTACTTGTCTAATTTAATAGGACGCACTATTGTCACTTTATTGCGTTCATTTAGCGCCTTGTTTTATCACTTGTCACTTTGCTATTCTATTTATTTGATTTAATGATATTATGCATTTATAATGTGCGTTTATACTATTGCTATTCGTCTAATTTAAGACAACGCACTATTGTCACTTTATTGCGCTCATTTATAGCGCCTTGTTTTTTCACATGCCACTTTGTAATTCAATTCATTTGATTTAATGATATTATTATATTTATATAGTTGTCCTAGCGCTGCATTTTTATATACATATTGTTCACAATATATAATTTAGGGTTTTTGTTAAAAAAAACAGGAGGATATCATCCGCATATGATGCAATTTTTTTCTCACATGCCCCTTGCCAAAAACCTCAAATATTCCTAGCTGTTCTTATAGGTAAAGCTAAAGGTTCCATGGTCAGGGCGAGGAGGAGGGGTGACAGAGGGCCCCACTGCCTCTTCCCCTGGGCCAATGAAACAGTCTGATCTTTACCCTCACCTTAGGGACAGTATAAAGTAGTTTCACCCATTTCATAAATGATGGATCAAATTTAAATGCTGATAAAACATGCCACAAGTAATGCCATACGACGGTGTCAAACGCTTTGGCAGCGTTGAGAGAAAGAATGGCCTTTGACTCTCTCTCATCCAGTGGAATATGTAGATTTAAAAACACTCTTCTAATATTTAGGGCTGTTGACCTTCCAGGAATAAACCCCGATTGATCTGGGTGAACCAGTTTCTGCATAACCACACTCAATCTAGAGGCCAATACTCTCACCAATATCTTAACATATGTACAGAGCAGAGAAATTGGCCTAAATGTTGAAGGCTGGAATGGATCTTTTCCCGCTTTATGTATCATAATAATCGTAGCTTTAATCATAGATGGCAGCAATTCTCCCTTGTCAAATGCCCAATTCAGAACTCGCAAGAGCTCTGGGAGCAATACTTCTCCGTATTGCTTATAAATTTCAGTTGGTAACCCATTTGACCTTGTGAGGAGGTCTGGCACTGTACATCTTCAATAGTAATGGGGGCATCTAACATGTTCCTATCACCATTTGTTAAAGATGGAATCTCTAAGCCCTGAAGAAATTCCCCCATTTATCATAAGATCTTTAGATGAAATTAAATTTAGCCAAAAAGGGTTCACCTTCATTCTCTCCCCTATTGGCCCCCTCCTAGTCCCATTGAAAGGATCAGGGGGCAATGGTCCAACAATCCTACAGCTTAATACCTTATATCCGATAAACAAAAGACTTTAATTCCCTAACACCAGATCTATTCTGCATGACGTACATATCAGATATCTTTCAGTACTGCCTTAATCAGTACCTTTTATAAAAGAGTAAACTGCCCTTGACCAACCCTTCTTCCAGGGGAATGCTTAACCATCTGAGTATTCATTACCTTGTTGAAATCTCCCACCACCAAGGCTGGTACCCTTGGCTTATCAGTTATAAATTCCAGCAAGAAACGTATTACCTCCATCTTAAAAGGGGGAGGGACTTACACATTTACCAGTATACATGCTGTACCTTCTAATAAGCAATCCATAAATTTATACTGGCCTCCGCTATTTCTCTGCAGGAAAAAGACAGCAATCTGTGTATTAATATACTTGCACCTCCTGAGTAAGAGGTGTATACTATGTGATACTGACATGGAAACCCGCTGTGTTTCAAT